AAAAAAGTATGAAAGTCAGACGCTATATAATGGAACTAGCACTCACAAAGCATTTTTATAACCATTCTTTGGGCTTGTTGGCTTTTTGGTGGAGCGTAGTTCTTCGTATGAACATAGAGTATATTTGGCTGAGCAGAATCTGCACTGCTAGTGTTTCCTATTGGAACATGAACACGCGTAGCTGTTGACATTTCATTTAGAGAAGCTGGAACCATCCTTTTTAGAATCCTTTGGAAGGCAGTGCTATGCAGATCTGTGCTATATACTTTCGTGAAAATGACTGATTGTGAGAGTCTCTAAGTAAGCCATCGCCTAAGCGACAGCTAATATGGTCCAGCAAAGAATCAAAAAATCGCCCAAATGAGCCACTCAGCATCCTAGAGTACGGTACGGGCGAAGATTTGAAGCTGAATTTCTTGGCCATGGATGAACCATAGAAACTGTCATTAAGGCAATGGCTGTCAATTCCCAATCAGTTCCCACTTAAAAATCCTCAGTGTCCAGATTTGCGTAGTGGCATTTTGTTTTGAGAGAAATTCTTACCTAAAATCCTTGCATAGCAATATACAATGAATATTAGTGGTAGCAAGAATGTGACAACCATTGCCAACTAGAAAACTCAGGATACAATGAAAAAATTTAATGAAATCATCTAACTGTTGACTTACCTCAAACGGATACCGGAATGGTAGGTTTTGGCTTGTAACATAGTCACAACTTCCTCGTTGTGAATCCAACTCTCGATTATATCCACAAAAATCAGGAACAACAACTTTGAACTGCAAAGAAAGACTGCGAAGATTAACTGACAATTAACTGACTGTGAGCTAAATGGCTATATACAGAGTAGACAAAATTGTCAAATTCACCATTGTTTTTGAAGGTAGGCTTGCGCGTAAAAAGGCCATAGTGTGTAAATTGAAATTTTTTACGTGCAGATGTTGTCAGCAACGCAAGAACTTAATTTCAATAGAGATGAGCTTACCTGTAAACCAATATACAACGATGGGAAGAAAGCGAGCAGCCATATCAAATAGATTAAGTAGATCACTCTGGAATGTTTTGTTCAGTTATTTCATTTTCTTGTCATAT